TAAGACTGCCTGTCCATGTAGTGACGTCCTCTCCAACAAGCGATATTTTTCAGATTCACCTTAGTCCAAGACCCACTGATTTTTATACTGCTCAGTCTATCCCTTCACCTATTGTCTGAGCTATTTATTTAATCAAGTGTCCAGATTAGATATTACCAGTAACTACAGTAGAGAAAAGCGAACAGGGAGAGAAAATGTGATGGGACAAGTAGAAATAAAGGAGAAAAATTCAATAGTTACGCAGATGGCACCACTCTCCTGGGTGCCTGGATGCCTCCCTCTACTCTTCTGGAGAAGGGCGTTACTTGTCTCCCTCCTGGTAAAAGTACCATGCTGAGTTTTTACTGGGGATCTTTAAAGACAACCTAAAGGTTTCAAGAAACTTTTACTACTTGATTTCTTCAATGTACTAGAGAAAAGGATCCATTCACTTTTTTTTAATTTTATTATGTTATGTTAATCACCATACATTATATCATTAGTTTTTTTAAAAATTTTTTTGTTATGTTAATCACCATATATTACATCATTAGTTTTTGATGTAGTGTTCCATGATTCATTGTTTGTTCATAACACCCAGTGCTCCATTCAGTACGTGCCCTCTTTAATACCCATCACCAGGCTAATCCATCACCCCACGCTCCTCCGGTCCAGAACCCTCAGTTTGTTTCTCAGAGTCCATAGTCTCTCATGGTCCATCTCCCCCTCCGATTCCCCCCCCCCACCTTTTTCCCTTCCTACTATCTTTTTTTTTTTTAAACATATAATGTATTATTTGTTTCAGAGGTACAAGTCTGTGATTCAACAGTCATACAATTCACAGTGCTCACCACACCCTCCCCAATGTCTATCACTTTCTTTATCAGGAAGAAACTCCAGGAAAAGTAGGTGAAAGAGTTTAACGTACTTGTTAATAATATGCTGTTAACTGGTCCTCCTGGTAAACAGACTAATGATTTTTGTTAGGAGGAAAGTCCTTACTTGAAAAATGCTGAGGAGGCTGTCCCTTGTAAGGACGCTTTACAGTAAACAAACCTAAAAATCTATGGACTTATGAGGCATGGACCTCCGGAGAAAATCGCTTAAGCTATCCAACACTGGAAATAGAATGGAGAAGTTTCAAAGTCTGAATGTTCTTTGCTATGAGGTAGTAACTACACTTCCTCATTTAGACACCTAATCATTTACTCTGGGCCACCTGTCTGATGTAGAAAGGAAGGACATGCGGAATCACCCAGAGTCCCAGATCTCTCTCCTTGCTTCACGTGCCTTTGAGTGCATAGCCTTGACTGCATACCTAAGCTGGACCGTAGGTAAGATCGCTAGTATGTGTCTGATTTGATTCTTTAGATTGGCTTACAGGCAAAAGATGAAACTGTCAAAAATAATTATTATCTAAGACTAACTTATTTAATACTATTACTTTAGTATGATAAGTGAACTAAATGTTAATTTGATACAGCTAATTAACACAGTAGCCTTCCAGGAAAAATAAGGCATCTTTTACTCTATGGCATTCATAGGAGAAAACAACCAAAAGTATATGAAATTACAGAGAAATTTCTCAACAAATTTTTAAAAAGCAATTTTTTAAAAGCAAATACAACCAGATATGTCACAAAATGTTAATATATGAATATATATGATGATAAACCCATAATCCAGTGGGTATATGCAGCCCAGAACTCTTCTAAACATGTCCTGTGAAATATGAATTTGCGTAATTTATAGAGTTGGGGTGAAATTCAAATGACAGGATATAAATATCATCATAATCTACACCATTTTACCTATTTGTGCTCCACTAACGCCAACCACTTAGAAACAGGCTGTGAAGGGGCATGGGGACAGGCAATCCTAACAGCTGATGCAAGTTCAAAGGCTGGTTTGAGTAGGAGACCTAAGCGCATCAAAAGAAGGGAAGAAGAACACAAAATTAGAAAGTTTTAAAATAGAGAAGTAAGGGTAGCAGGCAGAGCAAGGTCTCACAGAATCCACACATTCTCAGTGTACAGGAACACCTAACATACCGAAAAGTAACAGCCTCAATGGGGAAGTAAGAAAAAAATAGAGAGGTAACGGAATATATTTAGCTGTGAGGAATTAAAGAATCTGAAAACATGTTGTATGTCTTTAGGCCTTTGTCCCCTACAGGACAAGTATCATGTTTATTATTATATTCTCTCATCCAATCTCTAGGAGAGTAGAATCTAGATATATTTCAGGAAGTTCTTGTCTTACTGAAGCAACACAATTAAGTAGCTACTTCCGTTCACTTCATAATCCATTGGGAAGCCCACCACCTAATAGCTATTTGACCTTGGGCAAGCTGCTTGACTTCTGTAAGACTCAGTTTCATATCCTGTAAGATTGGGACTGTAAGAATGATACCAACTTCATAAGATAGTGAATATAAAACACACAATGTACTACCTGGCACATAGTAAATGCACAGTAAAAGCCAGTTATTATCTTTACTATTTAAGAAGGAATTTCTTGAACATTTTGACTGACTTCAGTGTCTTAATTTTACCATATCCTCCTCTAGCTAACTAACAGGAATCTGTAAAAGTTGATTATCTACTTTAATTTCCAAAGAAAAAAGGACTGTTTCGGAAGACAGTACTTATACTAACGTCAAAGTTAAAAGTTAGTGAATACTATTAGAAAAGGCAGCAAAGACTTGGTATTCATACATTATAGTCTATAAAATTAGAACCTATGATTTTATAGTATCATAAAGATCAGGGCTTTTTTTTTTTTTCTTGGCCAGAAAACACAAACTCCCATTTCTAAAAATATCTCAGGTTTTCTTCTTGAGGAAGTCAGCTTGCAACAAAATACCCTATTATCATAGAAAGCAAGTCTATATAGGACAAGTCATGAACTTGACAAGTATAGGACTTGTCATGAACAAGTCTATAAAAATGTAGTGGTATATGAGCCAAAGAAAAAAATCATCTGGAAAAACAAATAAGTAGAGGTTTTTCTCCAAATTTATTTGAGACTGTAAGTTTTCTGTTTTGTAACTACTTCTTTGATACTCCCAGATGATGAACACTTCCTTAGGAAATCACAAATGACCTTTCAATTTTAAAAAATCCTCTATGCATTTGCTTCTTTTAGAAAAATAGCTTAATTTTGTAAAAAGAATCATGAATGTGAAAATTTCAAATGTAAGAAAAGCGTACCATCTTTCTACTATACTTTTTATTCTGGTTTTTACATTTCAATGTAATCCAGTTTTTAAATAGCATTATGAAAGAAGTTGATGTCAGAGTATCCAATCTAGACCACTACTACCAAGAATTCGAAGAACTTATATACTATTAAATTTACAAATGCAAGGAATATATAGGCTATGAATTTTAGTTTTCTATGAGGCAATGATCCCATAGTAGTCTTAATCGTAGTGAACTAGGAAAACAAACAAGGTCACAACACTGCAATCTTGTAAACCTATAAACTTTAATTATCATTCAGCCCGATTTCCTATTGCTAATAAGGATTAAGAGTAACAGAAAACAACTTTCACATACAGATCAAATAAGGACTTTTCTTTCTAATTAAATTAAATTTACTATTGAGAGCTACAGAAAGGAAGATTAACAAATATATTTTAATCTCAAACTCTTCATACACTGCATATAGGCTTTTTATATACAATATATCCTTTCCAGGGTAAAATAAAATCAGCAGTTACCCAGTAGTTCAAAGCATCTGAATAATTTAGGACTGCGAAAATGACTATTCAGAAGAAATTACAGGGAAAAATTTAGGTAAGGAATGTAATTTAGTAAGGACCTTGGTTAAGAGAAAGTGAAAGAGAAAAAGGGATAAATCGTAATTTCCTATCTCAGTGCTACACTCAAAACAGAAATCTCTATAAAGATTTTATTTCTTGGAGAAATTTCATGGAAAAAAAGGTACGAAAAAGCCAACATCATCTGTGAACTATACTGATACAAACAATAAGGACTCACATACAGAATATTTTGACTGAATGACTAGACAAAAGGGGGATTAAAACTTTGAGAAAGAAAAGATACAGCGAATGGATTCTGTGAATTCTGCAGACTTGTGAACATAAAACAAATAAATACCCCACAAAAAACAACTCACACAAAGAATCATGTCCCACCTCATTTCTACTCGGATTAACTGTGATAACTTTGTCCTATAAAACACTTTATCATCCTTTCCAATGGAAAAAATGGTGAGAAGCTTTGATGATCTAACTCAATTAAAATATTGTTAGAGAATTCTCTGGCTCTTTTATCTATCTCAAAACTTGGAAGTTATACCAAAATGTAATAAACATACATGCAAAATGACCCTGCAATTAAGGTAATTGCTGGTACCAAATGTTGTTTTTAAGTTCTGCAATAAAACAGTCTCCCAGACATTTAATAGTATGTCATTTGGTAAATGAAAGTTTCCACAAAGTAAGAGCAGTGAGAAGACCTAAAAATTATGCTAGTGAAGAGTCTGGCTGAAAGAAACAAAAATATGGCTCATTTTGGTCCAGCACTAATTTTATTTCGAGTTACTACAGAGCTGAATAAAACGCTGACACCACCACACAAAAATTTATTGAGTTGGCAATAGGCAAAGCATGATGTCAGCCTCCAATATCACCGTCCGCATTACCAAATAGCATGAACGCTTTAATTCTCGAACTTAACGTAGACTTTATGTGTGAAGTTAGAGTAAAAATAAAAATCTCAGGCGTGAGGCATTATTAAACATAGATGAGTTTAGCTTGGCATAGCTTCTACGTATATTATTCTAGGACTTCAACAAATTCAGTAAAAAACATGGAAAAAATGCAAGCTTAAACATATTACAATTTTCTAAATGTGCCACATTCTTCACCAAACAGACCCATAAAATTCAGTCTTAGTCAACTGGCAATAATACTCAAATAACTAACACCACACACACAGCAGGCTGAGAGGAGACACAGAAATACACACACACACACACACACACGGCCTTACCTTCATAGCATGAATTTCTTCAAGCAATCGTTGTGCCCGTCTCTGGTTTTTTAACAGTGCATCTTCAGTACCCCTGTAAAAAATACATGAAAATATACAGCCAGGAAAAGCATGTATTTTAGACTCCAATCATAATGAAAAGTCTCTTCATTTCTTTTAGAAAAGCATTAAGTGTAAATAAAAAACACTGTTATCATGCACTGCCCAGAACATCCCCACTGCCCAACACAGACACCAATTCCATCAATAAAGCCAAGTATTTGGCATATATGAGCATTATCTGGCCTTATATTAATGACCATTACTACTGAGAGACAGCTGGCCTTCTAATTCCTTAATGGGAAGGTCGAATAATCAACTGCTTAATGGCACATTGCATTTAATGTAACATAACCTTCATAAGCTACAATTAAAGGTCAGATATAATTTTATTAAATAAAATTTTGTTCTCTGGAATTAAAGGAATACATAAAGAGAAATACTGATTACATCAGAGAGAAAGGTTATTTATGATAGAACAAGAAATTAATCAGGAACAAAATACATGTGAAGACTAAATATTTATATTGAAAGTGTAAACACTATAACATGCTTACTCAAATACTAGTCATAAGGACATTACAAAATATTATTAAAAAATAGATGGAACATGTTTTGATAAACACTTCCACAAGGTAATGAAGATTTCCAATTATTTAGCAATTCAAGGAATAAACTGACATAAAATCTTCATAATTGAAGTTATTACTAGACTTATTAAACTACACCAACATCTTAAAATAACTTCCAATAACATAAAACACATAAATAACTCTGAAGGACTTTCATTCTGAAAAGGCCAGAAGGAGAGCCCTGAAAAAACAGCAGAACTCATTGTGTATCCTAAGCAAATGTGGCCCAAACCATGTAAGGACATGCTGACATAGCACAGTGTATCCCACTCAGATCCTCTCTCCATATAAAACAAAGTGTTGTATGAGTAAGATACTTAATTATTCCTCCTGGTCCCACCCTCAAATTTTGTAAATATTGAATAAAAACAACTTTCTGACATTTTATTAGTCATAGGACCATAACTTCAAGTGACTAACTTTTTTGACTTCAGTCTGCCAACACTCCGGACAAGTTTTCGGATAACCAACACTCGGATTCTCTTCACTTCTTTTCTCATCTTCACAACCTTTGAGGAATAAAATCGAAATTAGAAAGGTTCTCTCTTAATTCGAGAAGAAACATACTTTGAGTCTTAATATTACAGATTAAGTCTAGTCACTTTAACCAAATTTTCAACCATATTCACAGTTCGATGAAATCAAACTTCTTTCATAAACAGTGAGGGAGTAAACCAACATTCTAAAAATGTGTCTGAGGACTTTTTTAGAAAGACATAGCATTCTCGGTGATTAATATTTTAATAGTGCACTTGTATTTTGTGCGTGGAACGTAATAAATGGTGAGTTCCCTGAGATGAGAGAGCATCATATTCATCTCCGCACCCTTGGGGTTTAAAACAGAGCTTTACCCATAATGGCAGGAATTTAATTTAGTGAATGAGTGTTACCATTCAGTTACCAAAAGTAAATGTGTGAAAGTGATAATATTTTACTTATTTACACAGCAACCCCTGCATTTGTTTCCGGTGATAAATTTCAAGTGTAACTTTAAAAGAAATGTGAAAAACACAAGCGTGCATGCGTACACACACACACACACACACACACACACACACACTGACAGATGCTTAAATCATCCCATTAGACGACAGTGCTGAACTCTAAGAACAAAAAAACCAGAAAAACTGGCCAAGAAATGGAAATATTCTAACGATGAAGAACCACGTTATAAAAGTACTTTGTACGATGGGATGCCATCATTTTGAGTTTATACTTTGCCTGTCATATTTTCTCCCTCCTCCTATAATGTCCTTCTTCCCCTTCTCCACTTTAAGAACTATATAAAATTCAGGTCAGATATCATCTTTCCTGAGAAGTCTTCCAATGACTTCTTCAAATGGAGATAAACCCTCCAACCTTCATGTTCCCACTATACTTTGTAGGCAGCATCTAACTCACTGTACTGTCCCTAACTGCTCATGTGACCATCTTTTTCTATACTCTGGGCACTCCTAGAGGACAGGGGCCTTGTGATCCCTAAGTAATTTTTTCTAGAGCGTTGCTAGACTACCTGGAACATACAATCCCTCAAAATCTCCTTGCCAAAATAGCAGTATCAACATCATTCTGTTTCTTCAAGGTTGCGCATTTGGCTATAACACCATCTCTCACCCTCAGTATATTCCAGCCCCTTATTCAGTGAAGATAGTGGCAATCCGCTTACAATTCATCTCTGTCCTAACTTACCCCGTCATTCTGGGTGACATAGGTGTCTATGTAATATAACCTATCCATTATAATATCCTCACTTGTTGATTTCCTTTCTTCATGACCTCTTCAGTCTCAGCACCCATGTCCAAGGTCACACCATAGTCCTTGTTATCACTCATAAGGATTCCATTTTTACAACCATTAATGCAAATACTCTACACTGAGATTGCAATGCTTATTTCCTTGTTCAACTCCACCTACCACCACCATCTTTGACTTCCCTGGGGCCAACAGTTCACTGACCCCTATACTTTCCCTCAAACGATTAGTCCTGTTCTTTTCAATTTTCCTCCTTTTATTCAGTTTATGTACATGATCAACACTTGTCAATACCTTAAACTTTCCTATCCTTCCTGTTAACTATCCCTCTAGTTAATCCTGGATGAAAACATCATCCTGAGTTCATTTTTTTCGAAGATTCATTCTTTTATTTATTTTAGAGAGGGGGAAGGTGCAGAAGGAGAGGGGGAGAGAGGATCCTCAAGCAGACTCCGTGTCCTGAGCGTCGAGTGAGACAAGGGACTCAATCCCAGGATCCTGAGATCATGACCTGAGCTGAAACCAAGAACTGGCCACCCAACAAACTGAGCCACCCAGGCATGCCTAATCCTGAGTTATCATAGTCCCCCCAAGAGCTGGGAAATACTTGAGACAGTCTATCTATATTAAATTCATCATAACTAATATGAAATGGGCTCCTACACTCTTAGCAAGCCTATTATATTTTTTTGGTCAATTCCTTCTACAATGACTATTTTAAACCTTTGCCTGCTTTCTGAAACATCTGACCTTCTTCCTCTTTTCCAGTTTTATGGAGAAAATGAACATCAGAGGGGAACCACCATCTTTCTACCACCATGAATGCAAATTTACTTTCATCACCTACCATCCTCTATTAACAAATTCTCCTACACAATATCTGACATTCATCTTCTACATGTATTTTGGATCTCATCTTTTCTGCCTTCTTAGAACCCTTACTACAGACTACCCCTTTACTCTAGCATTGTCAATCTCTTACATGGTTGTTTCTATTGATTTTTAATTGTGCTTGATTCATTTTCAATAGAGATAAGACAGACAAAACATTCTCACTATGAAGATCACTAGGAGTACCCTCTCTCTACAACTGCCTCAGAGCGAAGCTTTCAGAGAGGCTCAAACTCCCTAACTCCATTTCTGCATACCACATAATCCCAGTTGGATTTCCATTCCTATTAGTCCACTAAAAGCTGTTACAAAAGACACCAATGATTTCTAAAAGTCCCTCAAATCCAACAGGAACTTTTCAACTTCACTTTACTTGCGATCTCAGCAGCATTTGACAATGGTGACCACTTTCTCCTTCTAGGAACACTTATTCATTGCTTTCCGGGACAGAATACTCTCCAGGTTTTCCTCTGTTCTCTCCAGTCACTCTACCTTGGTCTTCTTTGAAGACTCATCCACCCCTAACCAGTCATAAGTTCAAAGGGCAGTCCTAAGCCAACTCTTCTGTTCACAATATACGTTTTAGACCTAAGTGAGCTTACCTGTGTATATTGTTAATTTCCCACCTAAACAAGATGACTCAATAATTAGCTCCAGACCTAAATGTGCAATGTTTACTTGATACTTCCTTTTCAGCATGCTTAAAATCATCTACAACGCACACCTGAACTCATGTTCTTCACCCCCAAATGGATTCCTTTTTTGTTGTTTTAAATTTCAGGGAAAAGAACAATCCTTGTGTTCAATTATAAACCTAGGGCTCATTTTAACTAGCTTTCTTTTCTAAATCCCTCACAGTGAATCTCTTACCAAGTCGGGTTAATTGTATCTCCTAATTATATCCCAAATTGTACCACTTTTCCCCCCTTTCTTGACCTCCTAGCTCTCTTGGGTGAGTTACTGGTAATTGGTTTGTCTATATCCATTCCTCCCCCTCTCCAACCAGTTATCTACAACCAAGTCAGAATATTTCTTTTTTAAGATTTTTTTTATTTGACAGAGAGACACACACACAGACTGCGCACGCGCAGCAGAGGGAGAAGGAGAAACAGACTCCCTGCTGAGCAGGGAGCCGAATGCAGTACTCAATCCCAGTACCCCAGGTTCATAACCTGAGCCAAAAGCAGACGCTTAACCAACTGAATCACCCAGGCACCCTAGAATACATTTTACTTGTAATCTGATTACAATCTGATGTGTCTTCTCAGATTATAAATTCCGTGAAGGTCAAGTGTCTGGTTTTACTCAACATTACATCTTACCACCTAACATAGTGATGGTATAGTGTGAGTTTTCAATAAACTCACATATACTCAAAAAAATTTAAACAAATGACCCGAAAAGTTGTAATACTTACTTGTTCATTCACTGTTTCAAATGCCTAATATAGTAACAAAATGCAGAGTAATCAGGTTTCTTTCCCACTAGATATACCAACCACTTTGGAATTTATTTTGAAGTTAGGTTTAGAAAAAAAAAATTCATACTTGCATAACAAAAAGCCATTTACACTAGATTTTTTTTTTATAAATTCTACAGTATCTGTTGATATATGGAGATTTGCAGAACAGAACTTTTTGTTTAAGATTTTATTTATTTATTCGACAGAGAGAGCGAGAGAGCACAAGCAGGGAGCAGCAGAGAGAGAGGGAGAAGCAGGCTCCCCACTGAGCAGGGAGCCGGACATGGGGCTAGATCCCAGGACCCTGAGAGCATGACCTGAGCCGAAGGCAGACGCTTAACTGACTGAGCCACCCAAGCACCCCAAAATTGTTGTATTTCATATGCAACAAAATGGGGGTTTATGACACATTTTTTGAAGGTCATTTATAAAACAAAACAATAGTGAGTGATAAGTTATGCATTAAAATACATTAACTGTTTCTAATTGCTGTACCCTACAGGTGCATAAAATGATTATATGCTATTCACTAACTGCTGTTAACCCAACTTAACTAATAAATTGCAGTGAGCAGAGTTGGTCCTCAGTTACATTCCAATCATGGGAAAGCTAAACTCCAATTTTAAAATTCCAATTTAAGAAGTACTATGTTTGTCATTACTGCATTAGGGAATTCTAAAAGGGAATGCTTTATGTATGTAGTTTCATGCCAAAACCAAAAAATCCTTTTATAGCTTATTGACTTTTCCAGTATTTGCGTGCAGGCAGTAGGAAAATTTGATTAAGTTTAATATATTAGAAAAATAAGTACATTCATTTTATGTAACAATGGAAATATTATTTTATTTTTCTCACTACTGCCTACCCCAAGCACTTAGCTTTCTTCAAGCACTTTATTTTTGCAAAACTGACAAACAGGTACCAAGAGCCTCTCAGTTACGATTCAAAATTCATTTGCACTTAGGAAGTTGGTTGACAGAAAACCCACAAGTCAACAGACAGGCCTAAAACATTCAATACTGTCAGAAGGCCAATGCACTACTTAAGGGCAATGTGCTTTGGTTTTCCAACCAAAAGCAAATAGAACTACCATTGTTAAAAATGTGAAAAGAGTAGGATACTGTCTGGGAGGGAAAGAGAAGTAGAGGAAAGAGAAAATAGAGGCATACTAATGGAATGAAATGCACTGACAAAAAAGAAACAAAATAAAAAAAAGTGAAAGGGAAGAGCTTGAAGAAAGACACTGAAGGACAAATCTGTAGGTCATCATCAGTAAGACCGCCAAACCGACGCTGAGGGCTTCCAAGCAGCAAAAGAATGCATTCTGAAGAAAAAGAGACACACACACACACGCGGGAACACACAAAGACATAAAGACACAAACACACACAATACACGTGCGGA